CACAAACTATGAGAGATGGAGCTTTGGTGGGAAGGGAAATAGATACAAGGAAAAAGTGAACTAGATCAGTCTGAAGAAGAGAGCCCATCCTGGCTTGTAGGGAATCTCCTTTCACCTTGTTCCCACTTTCTGTTTTCGTGGGAGAAAGCTCTTGATAAGGATCAAATCTAAAGATATAGATGACGGTGACAATAGCCACCAAGACCATTCTCAGCTTCTGGCTCCCTGCTAGTTGGCTCAGGTGGCTAATGAGGGAGCAGGTGAAGTTAAAGTCATGAGTTCAAACACTGCAATGGACACTTTGTTAAGTCTGGGGGAACATCTATTGTGTAATCAAGGGCCACCCTAGAAATTACAGACCAACCCTCTGAGATCAGCCAGCCATCACCCAGATGTAGGTTGTTATGACAACAAACCCCAGAAGAGCTGAAGCAGGGTTCAGCACCATCATCCCCACTCAAACAACCCAAAGCACTGTGCTCCTCGTACCTGCTATGGTGAGTGGGCTATGGTGGCGCCCTCATATATAATTTGCAAACTGCTCTATATTTCTTTTGCAGGATGTTCACCTCTACCTTCCTCTCCACTACTGTGGGCAGTGCTGAACCTCCAGCTTGAGAAACTTCAGCGGGTGCTGTCTTCTCTCAATGTGATAGTTTATGATCGGCCATGGGAAAGTTAGTTGGCTTTCAAAGACCTCACTACAATGGAGTGAACACATCCAGGGGGACTTGACAGGACCATTTAAGCAGTCTTAAAGTCCTCCCCACCAGGGGCAGCAGCACAAACACTCAGACTGGAGGTTCAGGCCATCAAAGCTTTCATGGGAGCCTTTCCACACCAGGCCAATAGATACTGGAGGCTAAAAGACTAACCTTATGGTAATATTCCTATGCCCTCACTATCTTCAGCAGTCCAGCTAAGAGGGACAGAGAGGAAGAAAGTGTCAGAACCACAGAAGCTCCAGGAAGCCCAGATTCAGTATGTTCTCAATTAGATTTGATCTCCTACAAAGTTTACTCTGAAATTCGACCAGCTCTGTTTTCCTCTCTTCCTTGTCCATTGAGTTTCCTAAAAATGGCAATGTTATGAAAACTTTGAGTCCATGGAGGACCTGATGAAGTTAAAGGGGGGTATCTTGACTTGGAAACACCTAAAAATCCTAGAATAGTATACGAAATGCTGTTGTTTCCTCCATGGAGATTGGGAGAGGATGTAACCACCATTAGGAGGAAAGGGTGAGACACACTTAGAGTGACCACATGGGTAGAGACCATGAGGCCTGAGCCTCCCCATCCAGACCTGACTTAACCTCCTAACTTCCATTTGAGGTGAAGCCTTTGCCCAATGCACATACTCTCAGCTAGTTCTGCTAGTTGCTGTTGTTATTGTTAAGTGCCGTTGAGTCGGTTCTGACTCATAGCAACCCTGTATAGGGTTTCCTAGTAGCAGCTGGTGAGCTTGAACTGCTGACCTTGCAGTTCAAACTGGCTTTGAAGTCCAGCACATTAGCCCACAGCGCCACACCAGAACTGTAGTCCTGCTAGTGGCAAGGTCTATATCAGGCTGTCAGTTGTGCCAGATCCTTGCATCCCCTGTACCTGGGTTTCAATGGCAGGAAGAAGAATGGGTAGAAACCCATGAGATTCCCTGTCTTAATCAGGTCTGTTTGATATGGTGGCCCATCTTTCTGCTTTAAACCTTAGGGGTTACTTCTCAGGCCTGATATCTGGAGGGGCGAAAAGGAGAAAAGAAACTAGAGGAAGAGACTCCTTGAAGATTACTGAGAAGTACTGACACAGATTACAGAAGGATGATTAACTTCCATCTTTTGTTTGCGCTTATTCATTTATAGTTCTGGAGGCAACACAATGACTGGAGTACATGTAGGCATTTCACATGTACTGTGTGTATATGTTCCTGGACACATGTTCTATATATCGTATGCCTAGCATGAGAAAATACATTGTGTGCATCCACTGAGTTTGTGCATATTTTGTGTACAGAGACAAAGTATATTTTATGTGTGCCTACATGCATATTCATTGTATCAATGTAATTTTATGTATTTTGTATCTCTTGTGCAATTGTAGATGGTGTGTGCAGGTCTTCTGTTCTGCATTACTAAGTACATTTTATGTTTGTGCATATTCTGTAATAAGATTGCCATTTATCTTCTGTACATGCCCTTTACATTGTTTTGCATGTGTGTTGCAAGTTTCATATTTGTGTATGTGTGGCAACAATCGATCTGTTTTTAGTGGGAGTGTATGTGCATGTTTGCGTGTGAACATATTACAGTGCAAGGTGAAGGATGACACTGTGATAAAATATCTACTTCCTGACCTAGGCCTCAGGTATAAGTTGCTCTACCTGTGTTTTCCAAAGGTCTTTGTCCATCCTGTCCTATGTCTTGAGAATTCAGCACCACCTCCCATGAAGGAGAGAGGAAGAGAAGCATAGAGGCTTTGCACTGGGCACAGTATGCCCTGCAGATACCTGGGGATGTGGGTGACCAGGAATGAATAAGCACACTGGGCCTAGCACCCGGAGCTGATGCCCACCACCCAAGACAACTGTAGGCGCTAAATAGCCAACAGTGAGGCCAGGGTTGGAGCCACCACTGGACAGCCCAGCCATCACAACTCACTGAGTTTAGGAAATTTAAGCTACTGATGTTGAAAGACAAAGCAGCCCAGCCTGGTGAGACAAAATCCTCCTTCACTTCAATCCATTCCAGGATCCACCTGTTCTCTACCTTTAGGCTGTGCAGTGTTCATTCCCTGTCTGTTTCAGGGGAAGGGGGGAATCTTTACTCATCCTTTGGTTCTTTAGAAGCAACTCTCATTGCCAATTTGATGGGGAGAGAGATCAAAATGATGGCTTTGGATCATCTAGAGACTGCATTCTTTGGGCCTAGAATCTACATCACTCCACATCCAGGAGGCTCCACTTAAAGTCTAGACCAGTAGAATTTGATACCAAGAAGTCCTATTCCTCGATGTCCTTGCTTTCAAAGCCAGAGATCCATTCTGGCTCTTAAGGAAGAGGTTCATGAAATTGACTGAGGCAGAGTCGGATGATAATGAGAACCAAACAGGCTGGGGTAAGACGAGAATGGAGATGATTAGCATGGGAGTGTAGACAGGAGGCCTGGGGTGGGTCTGACCCCGGACATCTGGAGCTGTGAGGGCCAGTGGGCCATTGTGCACTCAGTAAGACAAACTTCAGCCATGGGAAACTGAAGCTGCAGCACATGGAGGGCAGAAAGACAATTCTAACGTCTAAGAAATCATGAAGACCGGAGCCTCTGAGGCAATGGCAGCAAACCCAGGCTCAGTGGGGTGACCAGTAAGACAAAATAACCTATCAGGCCTCTTAGATAACCAACCACCAAGCAGTGGATTTGCACCGGAACCTGAACTCCAGAGAATGAATATATATATATCTATACATATATATATATATATTTATATATATGGTGTGTATATATATAGTACAAATACACACACATTTTTATGCATGCATGTACATATATGTATATATACATATATATACATGCATACACTCTAGTGCACATAGTCAAACACATGCATAAATTGCCCTGTGTCAAAAATATTGCATAAGCTTATACAATGTTCAAATGCAATTTTTTTTTTTTTTTCTACAGCTAGCTAGGTAGAGGAACACACAAAAGAGATACTCGGTATATATTTATATACACTGGATCCAGAGATCCACCTGTCCTCAGGACCCAATGCCCTGGTCAGCTGTACGGTCATGCTGATGACTAGGTTATTCCTAAGGTGTGAACATGTGAGGTGTTTAGATGTTTGTTGTTTTTTTCCCCACGCGCTCTCTCCCTCCTGGCTTTGCAGAGGTCTGTGTTCTCATTCAGAGGGATAAGTAAGGGGTGGGCTTGGAGGGCCAGACATTTTGGTTCCCCATCGCAAATAGTTAGTCTATATTTTTTTCCCTGATTGAGATCTTTTGCCCTCCAAAGGGGAAGGGAAATAACAACCCTAGTTCAATGCCATTTCAAGGCTATTAATACTCTAAATATGAATACTGTGTAGGTTACTAAGAAAATAGGTTATCTCCTGTGGTTTAAATATTGAGAGTCATGCAACAAACATCCATGCATCTTTATTGCATCGCTGGTAAATTCCACTGCAGAGTTAGTGTAGCTGAACCACAGCGCTAGGAGAGCAGATGTCTGCAAACTCCAGTGTAACAAGGAAATCTGACATGTTTTTGTGACCCTGGAGCCTGCAAAAAGGGTAAGATCTGAAGCTGAGAGGTCCCTTGGTTTGCTAGCTTCTCCCCTTAGACCTAAGGGAGAAAATGTGAAACTTGACAACTCACATTGGGTCATACGAACTGTCTCTCCCCTGGGCTTCCCTCACATTGACACTGCAGAGAAAAAGCCGAATGCAGCATTTTCCGTTATGAAACACAAGCCTCCGGAGCATCTACTTGGCAACTGCAATTCACAAACCCCAGTCTGTGACACAGAAAGTAATTCCAATACACAGGACTGTGTGTTCTTTTCAATGTGAAAAAAAAAAAAAAAAAAAAAGGAATGACCTTTTGACTAATATTAGAGCTTTAAAGAAAAACCATGACAGTTTTTCTCTGTGAAGAGGGGCTGGGCTAAAAATGTGATGCTGTGTGCAGTTCATTAGGAAGGAAAGGTGGCACTGATGTGGTGGGTTGCATCTTTGACATGGGGTGGCCTGCATATGCCTTCCTGAATCCTAACTCCATGGGTGACTTCAATCTTTGTAAACCTATTAGCCGGTAATGGAGATTTGCATGAAAGCCAAGTATAGCTATTCTGTGTTCTAAATCAAAAATCATAAGATCAAAAGTCACTTGCACGACTATTGCTTCCCATGCAGAACCAGATACACACTGCAGAGCACACTGACTACAATGCAGGCTATTATGCAATATCTGCATTAGTTCCACTGAGCTGTGAGTATGTTAAAAGGTTTCAATCAGACATCAGTTAACATTTTGGTGATATTCACATAGTTTGTGTTAGCCAAGGTACAATTGGCTGTTTTCAAGTTTTCTTCTCTAAAGTCCTCATTGCTGTTGTTTACCCCCTCCTGAATCTCCATGTAATCGGACTTACTAATGGTGGAGGCACTTCTGCTTTTCTTTAGGTCAGGGGAGGATGGGATCTTTGGACAGCTCGTCACTTGCAAGTATTGGGCCTGTTCCTCTCCCTCGGTCTCCCGGTGATAGAAGTAGTTGAAATTGGACACTATGACAGGGACTGGTAAGGCAATGGTTAATACACCTGCAATTGCACATAGGGAACCCACAATCTTTCCCCCAATGGTAGTCGGAACCATGTCTCCATAGCCTACAGTTGTCATGGAGACGACTGCCCACCAGAAGGCATCCGGGATGCTGGGGAACTGGGACTCTCGCTCATCGGCCTCTGCGAAATAGACAGCACTAGAGAAAAGGATGACCCCGATGAAGAGGAAGAATATCAGCAGACCCAACTCTCTCATGCTGGCTTTCAGGGTCTGACCTAGAATCTGGAGACCTTTAGAGTGTCTGGATAACTTGAAAATCCTAAAGACTCTTACCAAGCGGATGACACGGAGGATGGCCAGTGACATGGCCTGCTGGCCTTGCTGGGCATCCTCTGGCTTCTCAGCCAGCTCTGTCCCCAGGGTGATGAAGTAGGGGATGATGGCCACAATGTCAATGATGTTCATGATGTTGGTGAAGAAGCCAGCTTTGCTGGGACAGGCAAAGAATCTCACCAAGAACTCAAAGGAGAACCAGATGATGCAGAGGGTCTCTACAATGAAGAAAGGGTCGGTGAAGGAAGTGGACTGCTGGTACCCAATGGTGCTGTTGGAATAGGTGTGGAAGGTCATGCCACCACCATGCATGTCTTCATTTTCATCCCGGAATATAGGCAATGTTTCAAGACAAAAGCTGACGATGGAGATCAAGATCACCATGACAGATACAATAGCTATAATCCTGGCAGGTCCTGAGCTCTCTGGATATTCAAAGAGAAGCCATACCTGTCTCTGAAACTCATTTTCGGGCAGAGGACGCTCTTCCTCCTTGATGTAGCCTTCATCTTCTCGAAACATCTCCATTGCTTCTTCTCCCAGCTCATAAAACCGAATTTCTTCAGAGAATATGTCTAAGGGCACGTTCACAGGTCGTCTCAACCGGCCCCCAGACTGATAGTAGTATAGAATGGCATCAAAGCTGGGGCGGTTCCGATCAAAAAAGTACTCATTTCGAAGGGGGTCAAAGTACCTCATCCGCTTCTTTGGGTCCCCTAGGAGGGTCTCTGGAAACTGGGCTAAGGTCTTGAGCTGCGTTTCAAACCGCAGCCCTGAGATGTTGATCACCACTCTCTCACAGCACTCGTGGTCTGCCTCTGGGTCATAGGTGTCCTGTGGATGCCCAGGGAGGGCAGCAGCCTCGTCTGCTGGGTCTCCGGTAGCCACTGTCATAATTGGGACTGAGAGAAGCGCCTCACGCTACGCCTTCCAGAAGCCTGGTGGCAGGGAGCTCAGGGTGCTGCTAACGGCCCCAGGAAACACAGTTGCATTGGCCTGGGTTCCTGTTGGAGAGCCCTGAGGGCTCTCTGAGAGTTGGACAGATAGCCTCGCTTGGCTGAAAGACAGAGGCAGTGAAGGACATGAGACCACTCAGCATTAGCAGCCTGACTGGAGTTGTTACTTTGTGTCTATCAAGTATTCAGAAACTCTATCATCACCATCACTACAAAAGTGTTACTTTCACCTTGTAAACTGGCTGGATATCAGAGGAAAGCAGGTGGCAATCTCTCAAGAAAGTTCTGGAATGCCTGTAATGGGGAAAGTTGGCTGGTCCAGGCACCCTCTGCACCACACAGGCTTCAGGGAGTGAAACTCCATATAGGAGGTTACAAGGATGCCCTCTCCTAGGTCCTGAACTAATGTCTTGCAAATAACTGGACCCTGGGAGGGATTCATAGTAGGGATCTTGGGCCTGGGACTCTCTCATTGCCCCCACCCCAATGACTCTGACAGTGCCTGTTATTAAACAGCAGATTGATTTACCTGGAGAGGCAGGTCTCCGGAGCTCTCTTTCATGCAGAGCAGAGCAGATTAGATGCTGCGGGAATCCTAGATATTCATGCCGGCAGCTCAACTCCTCATCATGTCTTTTCACCGGAGTGAGCTAGAAATAATGGTGAGTCATTCTGGGCAGGAGGGCAGGCTCCAGGTCCTGGAGATGGGCTCCAGGACTGGATTGAGCTGGAGGACGAGTAGGGTGCCTGGTCAGAGGTATGTAGGACTCCCACAGCTGAGCTTGAGTCTGGAGCTTCTGGAAGAAAAGGAGGCAAGATGCAAAGCTCAGCAAAAGCTGGAGTCCTCCTGGCTGTCCTCAGGAGGTGTGACGTTGCCTGGAAAAAACAACAGCAAGGTGGAACCAGGACTTTCCAACAGACAGTGCCATGATTTGGGAGGCAGCTTCTCACTGGAGGTGATGAGCTCCCATGCCCACCTTCCATTCCAGTGTTATGCCTGAGAACTACCCAGCAGTCTCTCAGTCTCCCTCAGGACAGGCTTCCCAACAACCTGAAGCTATACTTCTCCCAAGGAAAAGGACTTCTCTCCTCCAAGGGCCTCCCTGGGGCCAAGACAGATCTCTCATCCTCAGCTGCCATCAGGAGGGACTCTGGGCAATGAACACCCCCTCCCCCATAACTCAGTCAGAACATAGTGTCTCCTAAAGGGAGGGTGGGCTACAGAAACACTACAAGCTCTGACCTCTGCTGGGTCTTGGGAGCAGAATTCCTGTTCCCTACCTTCAGAGCTCAATTACAGAGACCCCACACACAGCAAGGTGGCACCTGTACCTAAGCTAACTGGCCGGGTGGGTGGGTCCTGGACTTACATTTCCCTGGGGATTCCTGGGCCACTGGCCTTCTTCCGAGAGGGGTAGCATTTGAGCTGGGCGCTTGACCACCGATTTCTCCCCAAGAGAAAATCCCTCACATCTCAGCAGCATGGAGCACAGAACAAACGTTCAGCCTGCCTGGATGCAAGTCGGGTTGGCAGCAATGAGAGGGGGAGCCTCAAGGAAGCCGGCTTCCGGGCTGGCCCCCTGCCGGCCCAATCCTGCTGGCCCCAGGGCGGGGAGGGCTCTGGGCCCTCTCCCCCATCTCTTGACACTCAGGCCGAGATTCCATCCCTTGTACTCTGTGCTCTCAGCAACCAGCCACCAGACTAGACCCTCCACCGGTCACGGTGGCAAGCGCTCTCTTAACCCTCTCCTGCCTGGTCGGCTCCCGCTGTGGGCTTGAGCAAAACCCAGCTCTTTTGTCCCCCCCCTCCCCTTCCCAGATTGAGGTGAGGGACCTATGAGGCTTCATTTTCACCCAGAAACCCGGAGCCTGAACTCGGATGAGGGGTGGGTTGCTCTGCACAACTGCCCCCGTTCGCGTCTTCCTGTCCTCCTAAGCACAGGGGCTCTGTGACAAGCCCATGGCCCGTGGAAAGGAGAAACGCTTTTCTCTGTTACTGAGCCGTTTTGATTCAGTGACTGAAGGCGAAGGCAACTCGGCAGTCCCAAGTGATTTGGGTTCTACCAACCAGTGCTATTGACCAGACATGGTTATGCCGGCAGACGCACTGCCCATCACCCGCCGGCTCCTGAATATGCCTCCTCTCCGCACCACGCACACCCCAGAGGGTCCCTGAGCGCATTTCATGCACTTGTCTTTCTCAGAGCACAAGCCCCCGGCGCCATCCCCTGTGCCGGGACCCACCAGTCGGACAGCCTTGACGGGCACTGGCTAGCTCACGCAGGGTTCAGCTCGAACCCTCCTCCCGGCAGGCTGCGCCGCCGGCTGCCCAGTAGCGTCTCTCGACAGGCGCCGCAGCCCGGCAGGGGGACGCAGCACACGAGTTGGAGCGCCCTGAACCCCATTTACCCTAGCGTATGGCCACCCGGAGCCTCCATGATCGCGGTGTAGGGCAAGAGCCGGTGGAACCACGGCTGCGGGCGAATCGCCGCGAGCTGGCTCTGCAGTCCCGCAGGCGGCGCGTAAGGAGCGCCCGGCCGCCGCCCGCAGCCGCCCCGCACCGCCCCGCGCCACGCAGCGCCGCACCTGGCCCGCCTGCGAACTCGAAATTAAAGGGACCGGCGAGTGCCAGAGACTGCCCGCCGCCGCCGCTGTTGAGCCCGCCACCTTGTTGGGCCCCTGGGCCTCAGGACCCACCCCACGAGAAAGCGCCCTGTTATTTGGCAGAACACACGTTACTAACCAGAACCTTGGGAGGAGCTCACTTAGGGTGCTGCTGAGCCTGGGACTGACACCCGGAGAGATGGAGAGAGCAGAAGTTAAGGAGCGCTTCGGAAGCTCCTGCCAACATAATGAAGTAGGCACGAAGGAACAATCACTAGCAGCAATCCAGGCCCAGGGAGGGATCCAGTCCCGCGGGAGGTGGGCTGTTATTTTTATGAGGCGGCCAGACAGGCTTTACAGACCCTCCCAGCCCTCTCCTCCAGCTCTGTCCACACCCCAGTCTCCTCACCCCATTCCCCACTCCACCTCTTACCCAGTGGAGGCTTTGGTTTAGCAGGAGAATACAGCAGGTGCAGGGCCGCAGTGTGGTAGAAACTGGTTGCTGCGTTGGCCCCCACCGGGAGGAGCCGCAGGAACAAGCAGAACTGCAGAGCTGGCCCTCTTGGCTTCCTCCCTGCAGGGCGCTGGGCAAGGGAGGCTGGGGCAACCTCTGCCATAGGTCAGGGGCAGCTACTGGCAAAATGGGCTTCCTCACAGCCGTTTGGTGGAGCAAGTATGTAAGAATTCAACTACTATGGGGAGGTGCCTAGGAAGAAAGGCCTGGTGATCTGCTTCCAAAAGGTCACAGTCTTGAAAACCCTTTGGAGCAGTTCTACTCTATGCACATGGAGTTGGAATCAACTTCCCAACAACACAGACGTTATGGTAACCTGGAGTGGGGAGAGAAAGGTGCCCTTTGCTCTTGGAAGAATGTATATGGGTAGCTTATCCTACTATCTGCTCAGATGGGGGATACAAGAGGGTCCAACCTTAACCCCTACTAGTTCTGTTCTCTAGGTCTCTGTCAGAGTCACACAGAAATGTCTTCCAAGCAGTGGTTCCTTCGCCTCCTACTCTGCCACAGACAGTGCTCTGGACTGGGGCCTCCTGCTCAGAGAGCCCTCATCTCTTAACCTGTATGTAGTAATGGAAGCACTGAGAGCCCTGAGGTCCTGACCATTCTTTCCAGGAACCTCTAAGCTTTCAGCTGTCATAACTGAGACAAGAGACATGCCTCATGCTTCGCCTTTTCAATGAGCAACCTGTGGGTTAGCTGTTTGTACCTCCCAGGGTCTTTCTTCACAGGGTCATCCCATTTCTGTGGAGTCTCCTCTGATTCACGGTAACCCCATATGTGCAGAGTAGAACTACTTATAGGATTTTCAAAGTTGTGACCTTTTAGGTGCTTTCAGGTGCCCTTGAGCCAGTCCCAACTCATAGTGACCCTATGCACTAGAGAACAAAACCTGCTCAGTCCTTCACCAGCCTTACAATTGCTGTTATTCTTGATTCCGTTATTGCTGCCAAAAGGTCAATCCATTTCATCTTTTTTTCTGACCCTCATAGGATTGTTGCCGCTGTTCTGTTAAGTTGGGTCCAACCCATAGTATAAGGCTTCTAAGGAGCAACTGGTGGATTTGAACTGCCAACTTTGTGGTTTCCAGTCCTTTGTTTATTATACACAGTGCCATACCAGGGTTGTTGTTGTTGTTAAGTGCTGTCTGACTCTTAACGACCCTGCATAGCTGACCTTGTGGCTAACAGTCCAGTGCTTATCCTACAGTACCGTACCAGGGCACTCCAGGCACCAGCTAGCTTAACTGGGAGGTTAAGCTGTTGGTGGTGGGTGACTCAGAGTTGATTTGATGTGATGCAGTAGAATGGCTCTTTACGATTTTCTTTTTCCTGTGGAGTTACTGGATCAGCAATCCTTAGTTATTCTCAGAGCACTTAACTATCGTGCCATTAGGGCTCCTGAGGATAAGCAACCAGGTGCTGAGTCGGTGTTAGCTCCCTTTTTGGTCCTACTGTGTTCACCACTTCTTATTTCTGGTCGAAAAAGGACACAGCCAATGTGTCCCTGGAACCCTTCCCTAAGCTAACTTAACACCCCCAAGAACACTCCCTTTGCCTTCATTCATCCCACTGTACTGGAAAATATTGGCCAAATGGAAGAATATGCTAAGGAATGCTTGGAGAGGGAGGGTCTCCCTTGCGAGTTGCAGTAGCTACTCTCAGAATTGAGTGGAAAACAATGGGATTTGTTTGTGGATTTTTACTCTGGATTCAGGCACCCTGCTTGTTGCCTTATAATCAGCCCCACTGTTATTAACACCCCAAAGCAGAATCCCATAGTAGTTGAAGTACAGCTAGTTGCTCGGTGCTGAAGGCTCA